CAGAGCGGGAGAGGGAGGAGTCAGTTACACCAGAGAGAGAGAGAGAGAGCGAGAGGGAGGAGTCAGTTACACCAGAGAGAGAGAGAGGGAGGAGTCAGTTACACCAGAGCGAGGGAGGGAGAGAGGGAGGAGTCAGTTACACCAGAGCGAGAGGAGTCAGTTACACCAGAGCGCGAGAGGGAGAGAGGGAGGAGTCAGTTACACCAGAGAGAGCGAGAGAGAGAGGGGGAGGAGTCAGGGGGCAGTTACACCTGAACAGCACACAGCTCGAGGTAACTATCTATCTCAGCCATGTTTGAATCAACAACGTGATCTGTAACTGCTGAACAGAAACAATCTTAAAAGTATATCACGTAACATGAACTACTTGTACAGGTGAACACATCACCGTTCAGAGTGAGTTCTACTGACCTCGAACACCCAGGATCCGGTCTCAGGTCTGTACTCCAGGAAGCGAGCTCCCTGTTTGCGCGATGCTTTCTCCAGCCGGCCCTCGTAGTTCATCTCGGTGAGACGCTCGGGGCTCCGGATCTGAGTGCAGGCCGTCTTGTCGTTTGGCCAAACGCCGTCCAGAGTCACCTCGGCTCGCCTGCGACCACACGGAGTGGAAACAAGGAACCGGATCAGGACAGGAAGCGAATAGACGGCGTTACATCTGTAGACAAAACCACCGTCCCTCACCTGTTTAGCCCCTCCCCCTCCAGAGGCTTGTTGTTGTCATCCGGGTACACGATGACCTCTTTGCATCTGAAGTGCACGATCTCGTCGAGGTTCAGCGCCGTCACGTTCACCTCGCCGGGGAAGAAGATGGAGCCGTAGCCTGTGAGGGCCAGTCGGAGCCGAGCGGTGAGACACTCGCGCTTTAACCTCTCACACGTTGAGAAGATTTCATTAAACTTCGATGTTGTGAGCGGACGTTACCTTTCCTGCCGACGGTGAATAGTCCCCAACAAATGCACTATTTCCTCCCGTTTGTTTAAAAACTACAGTGACCAGCTGTTTCAGGAAATTACTGAGACTTTTTTACGAAGAAAACGTTTTATGTGTGAGGTGTTTTTAAATATTCAGAGAGTACCAAAAGATGGACAAACTTGATAGTTTTTTTTTTTTAAACACCCACATTTCACACTTCTTTATGTTCTTTCACAATTAATGTGATGTAATTCCTATAATCAGACACTGTTCATTGTAGAATCTCTTGTCCAATCAAGTGTTGATTAGTTGTGTTGAAGCTGAAGTGGCATTAAAGAAGTTGATCTTTATTTTCTGTCCTTGTCTTGAGCAGTCACTCGGGCTTCATCACTGACGCCACGTGGCTCTGCTGCTGGGCCTCCTCTTCTTCATCGTACCGGCCTACTGACCGTCCAGAAAATACCGTAAATGCACGAGATGTGAGTCTGTGATTCGTACTGTAGGTTTGTCTCCTGCAACATCCACGACATGTAACCAGATGTTGGAAGAAACTAAGTGCATTTACTCAAGTAGCGTTTTTTAGGTACTTGTCTGTAAATATGGATACAGGATATATTTAAAAAAAAATAAAATCTCCCTCCCTCCAGAGGCCATGATCTCCTGGCAGGAGTTCCAGGCCTCCATGCTGTGGAGAGTGGCCCTGCTGGTCGGTGGAGGCTTCGCACTTGCTGAGGGCACAAAGGTAAGCATTCAAATATAATGTTATTGTCAATATGCAACACGGGTTTGCGAAACGAAATGCAGTTGTAGACCGTTTGCTACACAAGATAAACATGACGAACGAAACAAAAACAGCATTTTTGTGATTTTGCATCAGACGGAATGTAAAAAGCAGCAAGAAAAACAATTCTCTGGGCAGATAATGTGGCCGACATCTTCATAATTCAACAGGGAATCATTGTCCCTCGACTTTGACTGCGTTTGAGCACCAAACATGATGTGAACAGAGTCCGCCTCCTCTTATCCAAACTGAGTCCTGCAGTCTGTCCTGCGCTCCGCCCGTCAAGTGCAGCTTGATCCCAGATACCACGATGGTGCCTGGTACAGATCTCTGTGAAGATGTGGGCACAACAGTCCTCTCGCTGTTGGGTTAGCCTGAAGTCTCATTGCGTCCATCTTATTTCCCCGTGACCGGAGGCATCAGCCAGGAGCATGCTGGGTAGTGGAGTAGCCTGAGGTCCTTAGCTGGGTTAGCTTAGCTTCCATCAACATAAACATACATATGATATACATTACATTAACACTGGTTCTAAACATGTGTGCGTGTGCGTGCATGCGTGCCACAATCGCAGTCTCCTGCATCATCGCCACCACGGTAACAGGTGGCCAGCAATGCCGCCACCATCACCATCTTCCTCCCCATCCTCTCTCCTCTGGTAGGTTTACAGTGTTATCGCTGTAGTCTCTCTAATCTCATCATCTGGTCTTCATGCAGCAGAACTACATTTACTAGTGAAAGAGTTTTTTACTTTATTTCTTCTTTTATTAATGCTGGTTGTTAGAAACAGAGAAAATATTTACACCTGAGTTGTAGTACAGTAAAAAGTACAAAGTAGCATGAAGTGAAAATAAACGAGTAAATTACCTCATAATGTTACTTAAATACAGTACTTGATTAAATGTGAAATAAAAAGACAAATCCAGTTCAAACTTCATCAGTTTTTATTGTGTTGAGGATCAGCAGAGAGGAGGACTTTATGAAATACTAATAACACGATACACAACCTTTCTTCTCTGGTCACAGAAGCTGAATGTTTCATGATCACATTTTGTTGATTCATTTTCTACAAATATGAATCAATAATTCATCTTTTATTGACCCCTAAAAACATACCAGACAGAGATCTCTTGATTCTTCTGTTAATTCAGAAATGATGAAAACCCTTTAACACCTTTTATTAAAATATAAAATAAGTGGTTCATGACTTTATCCAATAATTTGTAAGATTATTCATAAGTTATTATATATACAATAATCAGACAAACATTTTAATTTTGCACCCAGATATTTAAGGAATGTTGAAATGCTTCTTATTCCTGAGTACATTGTTTCTGATGATTCAACAGTGTTGAAGGCAGGTTATGCAGTTAATAGAATGAATTAGACTACATTAGATAATATCAATCAGTGGCTTAATGGCTGTGTGTTGGAGGAGAAAAACATTTACAGACAAATAGAAAAAACCCATTGATCAGAATGTGAAGAATCAATGTTTACACCGTAAATCACCAATAATATAGATTTGTTACATTAAATGAAAGAGTCTATCTGTAGAACATCAAGTGTTTGTTCTACTCGGTGTGATTGACAGGAGAGATGATCAGAGGAGCAGAGTTTTTACCACCTTCATTAGGACTAGGACTAAAGAATGGGTAGAGTTTCTCAGTGAAGCAGCAGCCAGTAAAGGAGTAGATAAGAGCTGCAGCATCAACATCATAAAAGGAGACCAGACCCTCCTCATAATCCACAAACACCCCCACCTTCTGAGGCTGAGACTTCAGAGAGAGACGGACTGAAGGGTTAGCACAAGCTTTGTACTTATTCTCATTACTCAAACATATCGTCCAGTAACCATCCTGAGGAGTCAGTGTGATGCTTCCCTTCCTGTTGATCGACTCTCTGGCCACTCCTAAATCCCACTTAGTCTTCCCTTCAACCTGAACCTCGTAGTAAAATCTTCCTGAAGAGAAACTCTGCTTTGATAAAACATTAGCCCAACGATCAAATCTCTCTGGATTGTCTGGGAGATTCTTCCTTACATCACCAAGTTTAACTTGTTTTCCATCATCAGACAGGATGAGTTTGGGATGTGCTGTATCAGGATCAAGAGTCACATCCACTGCAGACTGCTGGACCCTCTTCAGCTCGGCCTCAGTGAGCAGCTTCTTCATCTGTTCACTGAGCGTCTCCTCCAGCTGGTTCACAGCTCTCCTCACAGTCCCCTCATGTGAAGGTGAACTGACTCTGACTCCTGTCCAGTTCCTGGTGGGTGGAGCAGTGTTCAGGGTCCTGAAGCTCTGGAGGAGGTGGAGGTGGTCTTCAGAGCGTGAGAGCTGCTCCACCTCAGTGCTTCTCTTCTTCAGCTCAGAGATTTCCTGTTCCAGCTCTTTGATGAAGCCTTCAGCCTGTTTCTCTGTCTTTCTCTGCTTCTCTTTGATCGTGTGCATGAGCTCGTTCATTCTTCTCTCAACAGACTCCTTCAGAGCGGTGAAGACGTAAACACCATCTGCTATCTCTCTGTCTGCATCTTCCTCACTGAGCTCCACTGAGTGTTTGATCTCCTGAATCTTCAGTTCTCTCTTCTGGATCATCTGCTGAATTTCAGCCTCAGTCTTCCCCAGCTCGGTTTTCTGTTGAGCTGACTGTCTGAACTGAGCAGCCATCTCAGAGATGAAAGTATTGATCTGCAGCTCAGGTCTGGTGTTAAAAACCTTTTTACAGTTGGGACACTGAGACGGGACATTAACGTTCCAGTGTTGAGTGATGCAGGTTTTACAGAAGTTGTGTCCACATGGTATGGCGACTGGATCAGTGAACACATCCAGACAGATGGAGCACAGAAACTGATCTTCAGTCAGCAGACAGCTGGCAGCAGACATATCTACACTCTGAGGACAACAAGTGTGACAAAAACAAAACTGTTATTACATATCGTTTGATTATTTGTTAAATAAAATCAAACTATGATTATTTGAATATAAGGAGAGTCATTCCTCTAAACGGCCGTGTTGGGAAGGATGAAAAGAAACTAGCTAGCTACTCTTAGCGATGCTCCCGAAAACCTGGTTCTAAAGGGAACCAGTTCTAAATGAGTAAAACACGGAGTATTGATGAGGTCTGGAGTTGGAAGTTATTCTATCGGTAATTTCTTAGTTCTGTCGTGAGATGTCCTCGTCTCAAACGTCCTCTCTCTGTCTCTTTGTCTCCGGCTCAGTACAGCGTGAGACTCACATCATGATCAGAGAGAAGAAGACATCTGACTCTAGTAGATGCTGAGAACTCTGGTTGTCTCAAACGCAATAAAAGCCTCACACGTAAGAGAGGAAACAGCAGCAGTTCATCACAACATGTGACCAACAAGCAGAACATCAGTCTGTTTGTGGAGCGGCCGTCAGGTAACGTTAGTGATGTCATACGTTAGTGATGTCATATGGAGTTTGATCAGAAGAACAGTACAATAAATAAAAGCTAAGCACTTCGCTAATTGTTTAGCTGTAAATGTTTTTTGAAGATTTTTGAACTTCTTGTATTGCTACTCAAGAAAGACTATTTGATTACATACAAGAATAATAAAGCAATGTAGAATCTATTCTTTATTGTCATTTGATTCTCACAAAATAATAAAAAGAACCGATAAGAGTATCGATAAGAGTACTTGTATTGATAAAATCCTAACGACACCAATCCCTAGCGACGTTAGCATCTTTAGCACTGAGGTCCAGTGGCTGCTCCAAGCCCAGAACCTCATGGGTCTAGAAGAGTCCGACTCTAGGTACCATAAAAACCACATTACTGCCGTTTGTATCATCATAGTGACCGTCCTCCAGTTTTAAACCAGGCAGTTACAGCCTGCTGTTTGTTTTATGTTCTTGTAATGACACATGTGGACATGGACAGGTTGTTATAGTTTGTGTGTTTAACAGGCACAAAGCTAAAACAATATGCACTTTGTTGTACATTGTTTAATCAAATTCTGTGAAACTGACACCACAATGCAGTGACATACATAATTCAGTTTTTTGCCATTTTTAGGGTTATTATTTCTTCTTCAGTTACACAGATATTTTGTTGTATCGTAGATTATTGTCCTGTAATATATCGAGTATCACAGAATTGCTGTGAGCAACGTATCGTGATAGTATCCTAAGTTACTCTGCGATTCCCACTCTTTACTTTACATCAGACTGTCACGGTTTGAGACTGTTTTCCAAAGATCAGACTGAGTCTGTTTGTGTGGTGGATTTTTTAAGACTAAACTAGTGAAGGTGGATCACTCTGCCTTTAGTTCTCTGTGGTTTAACATCATGTTTTAAGGCTGCCTCTGGCTGATCCCTGCCTGCTGCCAGTCACTTATATGACTGTTGCTTTTGGGAATCAGCTGCTTGTTCGTTTATGAATAAATATATATATATAAAAAAAATAATAATAAAACAATGATAAACTAATAAGCATTGCAGTGATAACATTGTAAACCCTCTGGTTCTTGTTAATATCATAATTTAAATAATTAAATAGAGGATCAGAAATGTACAAAAGAAAAGATGGAAGCTAACTGCTCCGGACTGCAGGATGTTATATATAATATTATTTCTCTCTAAAACCACCACGACCTCCGATGGAGCTCAGTTAAACATTTGCTCTGAGTTGAACTTCCTGTCTGAGTAGAGCTGAGGTTTTGAGTTCAAACAGGAAACAGGTCTGTGAATTAGCTTAAGCTAATGCTAGCTGTGATTGTATTCTGTCTAACCTTTAACTAGCCAGAGTTCAGTCACTGTGGTTTAGTTTCTACCTCTGATGGTTTTATCTAAAATGACACATTTCTATGGTTTAATATTCTTTATATGATAAAACAAGATGTAAAACAGTCAGATTCTGGTTTGAACTAAACTTGGACTAAATATTGAGTGAGTGTATTTAGTCTGTAGAACAGTGTACTCACCAGAGTTTGTCAGAGACTCTGTTGTGTTGTTGAGAAGAAGCTGCTGGATTCAGTTGAATGTTTCTTCAGAGATAAACAGAGAGACTTGTCTCGACTGCAGCTCTGCTGTCGCTCAGACTCACTTTCACTTTCACTTCAGGTAAAGTGACTCTGCAGCTCTCCTCCTTCAGTGTTGCTCCTCCTCTCAGTGAGGGAGGGGTGGAGGAAGTATTCAGATCCTTTACTGAAGTAAAAGTACTAATACCACACTGTGAAAATACTCCACTACAAGTAAAAGTCATGCATTCTAAATGTATCTGATGTTTCTGGATTAATATTCCTGCTGCATTAATGTGTATGTTGTATTTTAACTCCTTTATTTCCTGTTGGTTAGTTTAATCTTAATCAATGCATCATATTCTATAAGATCATCATATGTTTGTAGCGTCTCTGTCCTGTGAGAACCACGTATCTCTAAAAAGAACAAACAGCCTGTTTCAGCTTTGTGACGATGCATTTTACAGCTGATCCAAGAGGCTTTTTAAGAGTTTATTTAGCTGAAGAAGTAGGATTTTCTCAACACATAAAGGAACACTTCATCCTTCAGTTTATCACAAACATTCATCATCAACACAAAGGAACACTTCATCCTTCAGTTTATCACAAACATTCAACATCAAC